ATATATATATATATATATATATATATATATATATATATATGTCAAATTGTAATTTGATCTTACAATAAGACCACCTTATTAGAGGAGGAATTTGTTTGACCCAGAGCTAATTATAATTTGATCCTACAACATGATCACCTTGGTTAGACTCATGTCTTTGCCCATCATATCGAACACAGGGACTTGTAGAAGATGAGAAGCTGGATTCATTTGATTTACCCTGCTATACCCCATGTGTTGAAGAAGGTGAAGAAGTGGTAGAGGGCCAAGGGTCCTTCACGATTGAGCATTTTGAGCAACTTGGATTGGCCCCATGGGTGGTTGATCAGAATGGTAGAGACGTAGATGTGATCACAAGGGCTGTGGTAGAGCCCATGATCAATCATCATTTTGGGGAGGGATTCAAGAACATGGTATTTGAAGATTATGTTAGGCTATTTGAATGGAAATACTTGAAGGGAGGAAGAAGTATGTTCATTTTGTTCTAGTCTTGAAGAGATCAAAATGAATATCTTCTATACTACAACCATCAAAACAAAATTTGAAAGGGATTGTACGGCTATTTTATCTTTGGTACAAAAATGTCACAATTACCTTTAGCCGTCAGTTGTGAAATCCAATAACATTAAGACAGCACAAAGGCACAGCCCCAACCCCCCGATTTTACATCTAATAGCTTATGATGATTTTAACCTCCTTATACCAAACATAAATAGTCTTATCTAGACTTTGCTAATTTGAAACATGGAGAACATTTCCGGGCCTCTTTGTGGGAAGCAACATAAATTGTGTGTAACTAATGATATGCTTGCACAATGTGTACTTGCAATAAAAATAATAGCAAATGGTCTGATAGGGCTACAACCTTATCAAAATAAGTAAAGCCTCACCTCATAACTCATCAAGAATTGTAATTCAAGTGTTGAAAAACTTTTAAATCGATCTTCTCAACTTGAACATTATGATTGTCAAAAAAATTAGGATTTCAAATTCTAAAAATAGTGTATATTGTAACAAATCATCTAGATCATCCAATTCACCCTAAAAGTAATTGTTTATAGATCTGCGAGATGAGTATCATTTTTTTTGTTTCAAATTTTATTGTTGGTGTTGGAAATTGATTTTAGAGCCATCATAAATATTTTTGATGCCCAAAGTGCTTTCCGGATGAGGATTTGAGGTGAGGCTTTATTTTGTTTTCATAAAGCCTATTCCTTATAGAAGCTTCATCCTAAAATAATTTAATAAACTATCTTTTCCCTCTAACCTTTATTTTGCATGCATTATTTTTTATTGCAATAATCTTTAACAAACTCTCCTCTCTAAACCTATACATTATTTTAGTTCCTTTTCATTTATTTTAACATTCCCTTCTAGTTTCTTAACACGAATAATTTGTGTCATGAAACACCGTTCTGTCTAGCCTACACATGTGAAAATCTATATGGAGGCTACACTCACGAGTCCAGCAACCCTAACAAATATTGGTATAATAGTTAAGTTGTAACCAAAGCTACTCTAATCCCTAGTTAAATGCATGAGATCAAAACTTCAAACGTGGTTATACTCAACTCATTACTTTGCCAGTTATGTTTTATGAATATGAAATGAGCAATAAAAAAAGGTTAAGTGCAATTTTTTTAAAATTGACTTAGGCCATGTACTCAGCCTAGGCCCGAGCGGAATAACTTGCCCGGGTCCTATATACCCAATAATAAAATTAAAAAAAAAAAAGTAAAAGCCAAGAGAGAGGATGTTGAGTTGCACAAGGTTAGAGGGAAAGAAACCCCAAGCCACATCTCTCTCTCTTCCCCCAAGTGACAACAACTCTCTCTCTCCCCTCTCTCCCCCAACTAACTCTCCTCCTTGTATATCCCTCCCTCTCACACACAAATCTCTCTCGTGGTCCCTCTCACAAATATCCTTTCACTCTCTCTTGGACATCTCATCTTTCTCTCGGAGGAGAGAGAAATCATACATGGATGGATTTCCCCCCCCCCCCCCCCTTAGAGAGATTATAGAGTGAGTAGATTCTTCCTCTCTTTTAGGGGAAGATAGGGACCAACAAAGAAGAGAAAATGAGAAAAAATTAATAATAGAGAGAGACAGAGAGAGAAGGAGGGAGAAATAGAAAGTAATGAAAATGGGGCCAAAAATTACCTCCTTTTGAGTGTGCGTCAGAGAGGGCAAGAGACAGAGGGTACCTAATCAGAGAGAGCCCATGGTAGAAAGAGATGAAAAGAGGTCTTGCTGCCATTTCTGAGAGAGAGAAAGAGAGATATGCATTAAGGAGGTGGATGCCCCCATTTTTTTTATGCTTCAACGAAACCCCAGTGTAGCCAAGGTAGTAGGGGAACTCACTTCAACATAAGGTAAGGCCGAGTAGCTCTGTCGAGCCTTAGAGCGCTGGTTAAATAATTGCTGATTTTGACTCTATCTTTAAAATGGTTTTCGTCCTTTCAATAGAAAATAAAAGAAAAAGAAGACATTCCGGATTCATGCTTCGTGTTTCGGGTTCATGGTTCTTTCTATGATTTTTCCCACAGTCATTTTACACTTGGTTCATGTCTCTTGCAGTGTCCATGGGTCGCAAGTGAGCATCTCTCTCTTCTTCTTGTTCTTCTTCTTCTCTCTCTCTATCCCTCTCTCTTTTTCCTTTTATACACACACAAGTTTCTCTCACTTGTAGATTTTTGAGAAAATTATAAATACCCCTCAAAATAAACTTTGCAGACATCCTCCCCCCCAATACTTTTAGTATCAAACCCTAGACCCCACCACTATTTTTTTTCTTGTATTTAGCCTTTAGTCAAAAAATCAAGAAAATAAAGACTAAAACGTTATCTCCCTGTCTATCTACTTGACTACTCTTTTTCTCTAACCAAACTCCCTCTCTCTCTCTGCTCACCCTCTCTCTGCCCAAGCTCCCCCTCTCTCTTTCTCTCTTAGCCCTCTCTCTTTCTCTCTCTGCTCAAACTCCTGCTTCTCTCTACCTGCCCTCTTTCTTTCTCTCACTACCCAAACTCCCTCTCTCTCTACCCGCCCTCTCTCTTTCTCTCTTGCCCAAACTCCATTTCCCTTATTACAATGAAAATACTAATAAGAACTCAAGTCCTCCCCTTGATTTCCTTACTCTTTCTTATAAAAAACAGAAGTTGCAAAAAAAATTTCAACAAAAGCTTGCAGTTCCTTCGATTTAATGGTATGGTGCATTGGCTTAATCTGAGGTCGCAGATGAAGTCATCTATACCTATTTTAACATATAAGATCAAGATCAAGTTACCTAAAGACCAGAACCCCACTACTTATTTGAAAATAAACACAATAAGAGGGCTTATAGACAATGTAAATCCAAACAGCTTATTCACTGGAAGATATTTGAGATATCTTCAGTCCAAGTATACATTACAAAATAACAAGGTGCGTGTTTTAAAAAGAGAAGCAAAAACATATGAAGTAGAAAAGTGAGAAAGAGAGAAAGAGGGTGGGTAGAGAGAGAGGGAGTTTGAACAGAGAGAGAGAAGGTAGAGAAAAAGAGAGAGTTTGGGCAAAAAGAGAAAGAGAGAGGGCAGGTAGAGAGATAGAGGGAGTTTGGGCAGAGAGAGAAAGAGAGAAGCAGGTAGAGAGAGAAAGAGTTTGGGTAGAGAAAGAAAGAGAGAGAGGGCAGGTAGAGAGAGAGGGAATTTGGGTAGAGAGAAAGAGAGGGCGCGTAGAGAGAGAGAGAGGAAAAAGGCATTTTAATATCAATTTTCTCGACTTTTTTATTTGGGGGGTTAAATACAAAAAAAAAACAGTGTTATATCTAGGTGTGATACCAAAAGTATTGGGGGTAGATGTCTATAAAGTTTTGTTTGGGAGGTATCTATAATTTTATCAAATAATCAAATCTCTAAGAGGGAAACCATTTGAGTGACTTTATGTTAAACTCTAATTCCAAGCCAAGCCATCATAGGTTGCCGAGCTATTATTGGTTGCCAAGCGGCAAGTAACTATATTATTCCAAACAAATGAATTTTTGGGCTTCATTTAGGGGCAGTTTAGGTACCTGAATGTACACAACAGAGAAATGAATTATAAGGAAATGATTTATTTCGAGCGTTTGGGTACGCACATAGCAACCAAGAAATGGAAATACATTACCCAACATTACCCCCAAAATCTTAAATCCATTTTATTGGCCAGGGGATGGGAAATGTATTGCAGGACTTGTGTGGGTAATATTTGCCTCATTGGACTGTAGCTCCAAATTAAAAAGACCTCTATCACTTAACGTCCAAATATAATGCGAAGTCCCTCTCTCAGAAACCCTAGCTAGCTCTCTCTTGCTCTAGCCAGCTAGCTCCTTGAAACCCTACCTCTTTCTATCTCTTTTCACTCTTTTATCTGCCCTAGCTCTCTATCATAGCGAACGCAAGCTCTAGCTCTATTGATACAGCCCATAGAGGTCGGTGCACAAATTCTCTCTCTTGAGCAAAGCCATCTTATGGAAACTCATATATCTGATACACTTTCTCCTTTATCATAGTTTATGCTTTTTTTTCTTGTAATGTCTTTATCTTCATAATCTTGATTTTATCTTTAAGATCTCTATGTAAATGTGTTATTTGCTTGATTTGAAGCCCTATATTATTAGCAATCTCTCTTATTCATGGTTTTCTCTCTCTTATGAAACCCTATAAATCCCATCGCAAATGCACTTTTTTATAGGTTTCAATCTCTCCCCAATTCTTACATATTCTTTTGTCTGGAACGCAAGAAATCAGGTCGTCAACTCACGAAATCCTCTCCCCAATTATATGCATTGATTTCAGTGAGGTGTAATACATTTGTTTTTTATTTTATGCTCTCTTCTGAAACCCTATAGATCCTATCCCAAATCGACTTTTTTTTTATAGGGGTTCATTCTCTCCCCAATTCTTACATATTCTTTTTTCTTAAACCCAATAAATCATGTCACCTACTCATGAAATACTCCACTCAATTATGTGCATTGATTTCAGTGGGTTGTAATACATTTGTTTTTTATGCTGTTAATAACTTTTAAGAATAAATCCATTCCTCTCTAATGTTGTGGGATATACGTCAGTTTTTTTGTGCGTTATGTTTAAAAAAAATGCCCGGCGGCCCTTAGATCAGGGAAAATAATAGTAGATAAGAAACATAGTAAATAGTCCATAATCCATATTTCCATACAATGATACAAGCATACACACGATAGTAGATAGTAGAAACTAGGGAAAAAAAAATTGTACAGTATAAAACTCAACACCAAGAGTCAAGCATTTTCATTCATCATCATCAGAAAGAGTAGGGTAACCCGCATTACATGCATTAGATTCAATGTCATCATCACCAGAGTCATCTCACTACGATGCTTTGTACAGATGAGGCCCTAGGAGTCTTGGCTGCTCTACTGAGTGCCTCTTCACCCTTTTCTTGCTTTTTATGTTTCATTGAACTCAAACATTGTTTAATCTCCTCATATGCA